GGAGAAAAGAACTCATGTATAAGAAACAGCAGAGTCCACTCATTTGTTTTCATTTATTTTTTAAAAAATACCCTTATTCTGTGTAGGAGAATTGCTTGTATTTGCAGCTGCATGACAAAAATGCCTCAATATAAAGTCCCCCCCATCGGCCATTTTATGTTAAGTGGGGAATAAATCTACGCTGAGTTAGAATGTAAATATGAAATAAACTGGCTCCTTAGATGTGAGGAACAGATAGGCACATTGAGTACTTTGGTAGCATAGAGGAAGGTACCAGGCGTGATGTCATGGCAAGGGAGATTTCCTGAAAGAATGATGCCTGGGCAGTCTAACAGAGGCGTTAGGATCCTTAGTCCTAGTACTACTGCCCCATACTGCTATTCAGTTTGGGGCTAGTTTCTTAACTTCCCTAAATACCAGCTGGTTCACTTGCAATGAGGGTGATATTTGCTCACAGTTTTGTTTCCCTTGGCTTTCAGGAAACTGCACAATCCTCTTTCCTTTCCACTACCGGCTCATTTCCCTTTCTTTGTCATTTGTACTGTCGAACGTCCGGCTCCTCACGTCTCACACCTCGAGACTCTCTGCGTTTCTATTTTCACATACTCCCTTGGTTCAAATCTTGCCTGCAGCCACATCTCCACCCACCCCAGCTCAATCTTGCCTCCGTTTCAGTTGCATGCTGGACATCTCCCCATACAAACTCTGCCAAGGCATTTAAAATTCAACAAGTGTAAAGCCGAATTTGTTCTTCTTTCCCTAAATTACCTCCTGACTCTGGAATGGGTAGCTCTTTTAAATAGGGACCCTAATCTCACAAATTCCAAACTTCCAAGTCATCTTTAACATCTTTTCCCCCCTGTTCCTTATCTAATTAGTTGCCAAATTCTGTGGGTTATCTCTTTGAAACTTGTTTGGTCAGAGCAAGAGTGGAAACTCAAAAGTCTATAACAATTGCATCAGGAGTTTTATAGAGCAACAGGACTGTAACTCCTTAATGTAATTTTAAAACTAAACACATTTTTCTCTAATCTTAAACACCTGGACTATCGTAGTTAAATTGGATCTTTGCTTACACAGTCATTCCCATTCCAGCATCTTTTATGCAAATTACCTATGTGCTTCCTCCATACAACTGTCCACAGTCCTTTAATGCTTCTAAATAGTGTAAAAGGCACAGGCCTTGTCTTTAAGGCTCTCTCAAGTCTCTTCCCAGCCTGTCTCTCAGCCTCTTCTTCCATTGCCTCAATTCAGTTCTCCATGCTGTCCCTAAGCTCTTTACTGCTCTTGGAATCAATGGGCCTTTTCCTGACCCCAAACCTTTGTTAGTATCTTACCCTATTTTTGCCCTATTGCATTAATATTTGTCATATTTAGTTGACTCACCAGGCCATTAGCCTTCCCCACCCCAATTACCACGCTGCCTTCTCTCCTTTCTGAAGCCCTATACCACTTTGGTTGTGACATTTGTATAGCATTTATCATGGAAAACCTCCCTACTAGAGTATAGATTCTCAGACGCAAGTATTGACACTTAGTGTGCTTTTGTGCACTAAGAAAGTGTATTAAACAGTCTTTGATTTCATCATTGTGTGGTTCCTGGGACAAAAGCCGTGGTCCTTTGCTCTGACAAAATCATGAACCTATTTTCTTTGTATTTAGACTTAATTACATAAGCTTGTTTTGAATTGGAAGCTCTATATAGACTATTTTACTGCCAAATGCTTTTTTCTCAATGCAGAAATAAGCCTTTGAGAGGCACAGTGCCTCAGCTGAAGACACATAGCTAGTTTCTGGTAGATCAAGTATGAAGCTTTGGAACTATTGCTCACACCATAAGCCCCTGGGTTCCCAAATCACCTCCCCAAATACCTAGTTCATTGTCCTCTGCATATAAGAAATTTTTGCTGATTCCAATAAAAAGAAAGTAGTATGGTAGGACAGGAGAAGTATAGGTTTTTGAATCAAACTAGGTTTAGATTCTGGCCTGGTCACGAGTTAGTGAATGGACTTTGGTAAACAGCCTCTCAGCCTGTTTCCTTGTCTGTAAAATGTGGGTAGTTATCGTCACTTCATGAAGTATTGTTGGTGAAATGGTACGGTGTGTATAAAGCAACTGGAACACAACAAATGCGGCCATTTATTTAAAATAATCTTCAGTAAGTTATAAATTCACATATTTGCTTTTTCTTAGGAATACATAAATTTTATCATAGATCCCCTTTCTAAGTTGAGTAAATGCATAGTGGATTTCTTTGCTTCCTTCCCCTCAGAATGTTGAAATTTGGGTGGTTGTAACTATTACTTAAGACTCCATCCAGTAACTGTTCATAATTTGTTCATAATTTTTTTTTTTTTTTTTTGAGACAGAGTTTCACTCTCATCGCCCAGGCTGGAATGCAATGACACAATCTTGGCTCACTGCAACCTCTGCCTCCCAGGTTCAAGTGATTCTTCCGTATTAGCCTCCCGAGTAGCTGGGATTACAGGTGTTCACCACCAGGCCTGGCTAATTTTTTGTATTTTTAGTAGAAACAGTGTTTCACCATGTCGACCAGGCTAGTCTGGAACTCCCGACCTCAGGTGATCCACCTGCCTTGGCCTCCCAAAGTGCTGAGATTACACGCATGAGCCACCAGGCCTGGCCAAACTTTCCTTTTAAAAAAAGGTTTTGCCAAGAACTAAGTATTCTGGAAGGTGGATGATTAGGCCATTCAGTGTCACTAAGCTGGGTGACAGAGATAATATTTTTGACACTTTGCAGAGCTCATTGTTTTCTCTGCAAAAAAAAAAGCTATGACAGTCACATAATAAACACGTAGAGAGCTTTAACAGGCTTCAATGTTAAGTCTTCTGACAGCTGTATAACTCGTCTTACTTGAACCTGTCTTTTCATAATACTACCTTGCCTTTCACACCAATTCTGTGAGCCCAAGCAGGAATGAAGATGACCTATTTCTAAAGGCAGGACAGAAGGGAGTGGTGGTAAAGGTTATTGGAGGTTATTAGGTGGAATAAATGAAGAGCTAGTACTATGCCGGGTCCTGACATACCTTGTGTTTTTATTTCTAATATGGGAGTAAAAGTAAGATATTTTAACATTAAATGAGGATGACTCTAGATGGTTGTAAAAGCCCTGCGCCCTAACTTCTAAACTCTAAAATGTTCAAATATTGTTAGGTTTCAATGAAATCCTACAGTAGTCCTTTACTTGGAATCACTGTAGGATTGGTTCCCGCAATGGGCAACATAGGGTTTGGTTCTACACAGTGAGAATGGGTCAAAGAAAACACTATGGTTGAAAATTGTTGTTTTCCTCCTTATAAAGCTCATACCAACGTAAAGAGTAAAGAGCTATCAAGAAACCTTCAGGGAAGAATACAAATACCCCCACAGCTGGTCCATGGAGCAAAGTATAATTCCAAGTAAGAAATTTCACTTAGCCAGGTAAGGCATTTAAGGGAAAAGGAATCTAGGCTGGGGCTCTGCTAGCCAGACACAGATAAATTACTATAGGCAAACATGTTTTTGAAGCTATTCTTATGAAGGTGGGAAACCCACCTTGCCACCTATATCCTTTCTGTTTTTGACAGGTGTTGGAAATGGATGCTCGGTGCTGCAAAGAAAAATTAGCACTGAGACAAGGGATCTTTCAGCAAGGCATTTTTACTTCGTGGACTGCAGGAAGAGTACCCTAGCTAGCTAGGCAACATGCCACAAGAGTACAATGAATAAAGGAAAACAGGCACATTTATTCCTTACGCTTTTGGGGTTGTCCTTACTGCTGTGTCTGATCTCCGTTGGCTGGAGCCAGACCACACAATCTAAACTAAAACCCGAGTGGCTAATAACGTAAAACTTTTCTAAACAGGTAAAAGCAATGGAGAGCTGGGATATGCCTGTGAGCACACATATCTTGGTTAAAGTACAAGGACATAGAATGTACTACGTACCTGTAAGTGTGGCATGTTTAACACAGGATAGGACTTAAAGCACACTTATTCTTTAACAAGAAAGGAAATTTTAAGAAGAAACTTTTCTACTTCCCACAACAGGGGTGTTCGTGGGCTGACTAGATCTTTTCTCTGACCAGTACCATACAGGTCTCTGGTTCTCAAACCTGGCTGCACAGTACAGCACTTTAATCCTGATACCCAGTCCCATCCTCAGAGATGCTGATTTAATTTGTCTAAGGTGCAGCTTGGGCCTCTGGATTTAAAAAAAAAAAAAAAAAAGACTCCCCACGTAATTCTTATGTGTGGCCAGTCTTGCAAACCTTAGGCTATTATTCTTAAGGGTTTGTAGCAAGCCTTCCTCTTAAAAATCCACCCCACCACCATTCAGCTTTTCGGGGTCTGTCTGTTGATATCTCACCCCTTCCCGACCCCACCGCCCCCCAACACACACACACACAGACACACACACACACACACACACACACACACACAGACATACAGGTGAATTTCTCTCTACAGTCAGGCTGGAGTAATCCCAAAGTGATATCTTTGGTAAATAAGGAGAACCCAGATGAAGAAAGTTAACTCCCACCCGAATAAGGTGTGAACAATGCTCACTCCCTGCTGTGTTACTCAGCCTGTTTCTCTGTTTTCACATTAGAGAATGTCCTAGGAGGTAACGCGCTGCCTCCCTAGTTATTTCCCCACCCTCGCGCTGGCCTTGGACAGACCTTCCAGGAGAAGGCCCACGGTGCCGGGAAGGGACCGGGTTTCAATCCCGGAACGCCACTGCACCTGCAGCTCGACTTGGCAGCACTCAAGCGCGCGGATACTCCGGTTAGACCAACTCTGGCTGGGGCGGCTAGGCCAGCGATCTTTATCCTGCGATACTCGGGCACCCCTCCCCCTCCCGTTCCCACCCAGTCTGTGTTGACGTAGCAAGAAGATATTTACGTTTCCAGAAGGCCGGTCATCGCAGGCCCCACCCAGCAGTGGAGAGAGTGAGTCTCAGCGGGGATTGCCGGAGAGCTCCTTCTCCCTCCCAGTGCTGTCGTCCCCTAGTCCAGGGCTCCCAGGGGCAGGGGACGCCGGGGCCTCTGATCTCAACAAACCCCTGCTCCACCCGTCTTCGTTGTTCCACCCTTGGTGATACGGAGCCCCGGCCCGGGCCCCGCCCACAGCGCTCATTTAACTGGTATTGCGGAGCCGCGAGGCGCCGCCGCCGCTCACTGCAACTGGCTCGCGCCGCTGGGTGTTGCTGCGAAGTGGTGGAGTCTCCTGTCCTGACCCCGCGCGCCATGACTGTCGCGCAGCCGAGCGCGCCCGCGGCGCTGCGCCTCCTCGGCGGGCTGCCGGGGCTGCTGCTGCTGCTGTGCCTGCCGGGCGTGCGGGGTGAGTGGGGACCCGGGGCCGGCGGCCGGGGAAGCCCCTGGGCTGGGTGGGCGGTCCAGGTCGGTCTCCGAAACACACACAGGGCCCGGGGACCTGGCAGGTGAGGAGCGTGGCCCGCGGTCGTGGTTCCGCCGTCCTGTACCTTTAAGGCTCTCACCGCTCACCAGCGATTGGAGCTCGTGCTGTGTCGGCCCCCAGCTGACTTGGCTTTAGGGGTCGGCGTGGAGGGTTAAACCGTCCACGGCTGGGTTTCCGGAGCCGCCTAAGCTGGGAAAATCGAAAGGGAGGGCCCAACGACAGTGTATCCTTGACCCCCCGAAAAAGCTGGTCTCAAAGGGTGGGAGGCCAGACCGCCGACCGCTCCCCACTCTCGACACGGAGTCCAGCCGCGGGCAGCACACGGTGCTGTAAACTTGCGGTCACCTTCAGGCGTGGCATTTCAAGGGGCCTTGTCTTAAAAACAGCAGCTGTGAGGACACTTGATAGTCATTCCCTTCAGTTCTGCTTTTGCCTCCGTAGGTGACTGTGGCCTTCCCCCAGAGGTACCTAATGCCCAGCCAGTTTTGGGAGGCCTTACGAGCTTTCCCCAGGGCGCCACAGTGACGTACGAATGTAATGAAACCTATGCAAAAATTCCTGGCTCGAAGGACTCTGTGATCTGCGGTCAGGACGATCAATGGACAGATATTGAAGAGTTCTGCAATCGTAAGTTCTTCATCCTTTTAGAAAAGTTATGAGAATGGAATGTATCTCATATTTATTTTTATATATCTTTGGAGTGACCAGCAATTGATCGTTTTCTAGCGTTTTTAAACCCCAGGTTTACCTTGTTGGCACGTCACACTCCAGCTAATTGAAGGCATTCTCCTCCCTGAGTAGGTCCTGCTGCTTCATTAAGAGTTTTTCTTCCTAACACTGTACCTGTTGAACGAACTAGTAGAGAAACAGTAGTAAACAATAGGTATTGTTTAGGGAGTAAATATATAAAATATATTTGGCAATTGCCTTGAGACACAGCATAAGTGATCTGTTTTCTTAAATATCATTTTGTAAAGTAGGACTTGCCAAATAGAGCCCAGTGGTGGCATTTTTAAAACCTCTCAATATTTATTTCAAAATCTACTTGTACATATTTATAGGGTAAGTGTGATATTTTGACACATGCATACGATGTGTCATGATCAGTCACGGTAACTGGGATAGCCAGCACCTCAAACACTGAGCGTTTGTGTGGAGAATATTCCAAATCTTCTCTTCTTGCTACTTTGAAAACATATGTGTATATACATAAATTGGGATATATATATATAGGGACGTATGTATATATAAATTGGGATACAGATATGTGGACTGATTGATTGATTGTTAAAAATAAATAAAAGGCCCAGCGAAGTTTTGGGGCTAACACAGTAACTGTGTTTGATATTAAGATATCTAGTAGATCAAGATTTCTTGTTTTAGGTGAATATACATTCAGTCATCCACACCTCATGTGCCCTTTGGTTTCATAAAATACATATTGGCATTATTTTGGAGGAAAAAAATCTGTTATTTACATAGCCCTGTATTAGCTTTGAGATATATGGGTAAAGATAGTCAATAACCCGACTTTGAACAACTTAGATCAATGGAAGCTACAGTAAATACAGAAATTGCCACAAATACTCAGAAGCAACGCATAAAATAGGCTTTAACTTTCTATTATTATCCACGATAGAGGCAGTAGGATCAAGTACATAGTCTTTGCACACGTATCATGGTTTAGAATTGATAACTCTTCCCCATATTATTACTTTATCCAATCCTTAAACAACCTCATGAGGTAAGTTGGGGCTCTTATCCTCATTTTATAGTGGAGGAGACAGGTCCTAGTAGTTAAATAACTTCCTCAAGAGCAGCAGCTTTTATACCAAAACCGAGGTGTAAACTCGGGCCTTCTGACTGCAAATCCAATGACCCTTCCACTTGACCATGCCTCTCTAGATTCACATTTGCCCAGCTGTTTACAGATGTAAATACTCTACGTATGCAGTTGACTCATCTGATCCTCGACCCCAGGGCTTATGGGAATTAAATGAGTTTAAGTGTAAAACATTTAGAAGTGTTCGATCAATATTAGCTGCTATTGCTGTTGTTGTGCAGGACATTAGTCCAGGGGTCTGGAAATGCCCTATCCCTGTACTATATGGTGCTGTGTAGTTCTTTAGGGCAGGATAAAGAAATCAACATTTATAGAATGTCAGAGAACTTAAATATTATTATTACTTTTTTAAAGTGGGGATAGTGATATCTGTGTGCCAGCTCTACTTCCTAAACCTCTGGTAACTAGGAAATCAAGTATACATGTGAATACATCTGATAGATTGCAAGTGCCATGGTGATATTAATATAGTTAAATACCAAATATGTACAAAGCAGTAAGGAAGGGTGATTTAGCGTCCAATTAATTAAACATAGATTATAAAACAAAATACTACTTTTTTTGTTATTGCTTTTGTTAATACTTTCAGGTAGCTGCAGTGCACCACCCAGACTAAGTTTTGCAGCCCTCAGACCGCCTTATGTCAGTCAGAATTATTTTCCAGTTGGTACTGTTATAGAATATGACTGCCGTCCAGGTTACAGAAGAGTCCCTTTTCTACCAAGAAACGTAACTTGCCTTCAGAATTTAACATGGTCCACAGCACCTGAATTTTGTAAAAGTAAGTAAAATTTTTAAAAAGCGTTTCCAACCATCTGGTGTTTGGGGGAAATGGTATTCCTTCCTTCGTTCATGCTAGAACTCTGTATGTATATACTATTTATTATTTAGGATATTTCTTGATAGGACCATGAGTGTTAATTTATTTTGAATTAGACAAACTATTTATGTGGTAGGAATACTTATTCACTAGAAAATTTCATACTTAATTAGTTGGAGGTTACCTAAAATAAAACACATATATATTCTAAATATGTTGCTTTTTCAAAACTTATTATAAAGTGAAATTCAAATTAAAGAAGACTAATGGTCGGGCATGGTGGCTCATGCCTGTAATCCCAGCACTTTGGGAAGGCAAGGAAAGTGGACGACTTGAGATCCGGGGATTGAGACCAGCCTGGCCAACGTGATGAAACCCTGACTACTAAAGATACAAAAATTAGCTGGGTGTGGTGGTGCACACCTGTCATCCCAGCTTCTTGGGAGGCTGAGGTAGGGGAATCCCTTGAACCCAGGAGGCAGAGGTTGCAGTGAGCTAAAATTATGTCACCACACCCCAGCCTGAGCAACAGAGTGAAGCTCCATCTGAAAAATAATAATAATTTAAAAAAGAAGTTTAAGGGTGAGAAATATCAATGGTTCAGATGATGATATTTGATAATTTTTTCAAATTTTTCCCCAGTTTTATTGAAGTATAATTGACAAATTTTAGTTGTACAACATGATGTTTTGATATATGTCCACATTGTGAAATGATTAACACAGTCAAGTGAATTAATATATCCACCACCTCACATAGTTACCTTCTTTGTTTGTATGCCTGATAATTTAATTTAAAAAATCTATTTGTATTCTATTCTAGAGCAATCGTGCCGTAATCCTGGAGAACTACTAAATGGTCACATTGACATACCAGATGGCATATTATTTGGTGCTTCCATCACCTTCTCATGTAACCCAGGGTAAGTTTGGGCATATTAAAACCCTGTATTTAGGAAATGAGAAAACAAATTAGGATTTAAGATGAGATTGTTAGTTTCATGACTGGTATTCATAGCTAGTAGCAATTAAAACAATCCCTCTCCTCAAAGACCCTTCATCATGAGCTCCTCACAGTTACGTTTAGTAAAATGGGGCAAGAAAGGAAGATTTCTTATACCACCAAATTCTCTGATTTCTGATTTCAGTCCATATGTGATTCAGTAAAAAAATTTAAATGTGATTAATAAAAAATTTGAGATGACGTTACTTGCAGAAATAATTCTTCAAATGTTAAATACTAAACCAGTCTTTAATTGACCTAAATAATGAATTTGCTTATGAGTTTATCTATATGCAAACAAGCTGTTACAAAATAGCATGAGTTAAAGACATTCCTAGTGTGAAAATATTCTAAACTAAGTTCTTTGATAAGTTCTCTATATAGGAAAAAGGAACTCACTCATTGAGTACCATCGGTGTCTCAGACACTGTTGAAAACTTTATATTTATTTTTTTGTGTCACATCTGTAAATTATTCTATTTTACTGTGTGTCCCTATTCTTTATAAAATAAAAAGATCAATATCACTTGTCTCCTATATGAAACACAGGTGTTGGTTAGGTCACGAACATAAAATCTGGGAAGTACTTTGAACTCTTTAAATATAAGTATATTCTATGAAGCCTATGTTTAGAACTCAGAAGTATAAAATGTTCAATCATCTATGTCATTTAAAAATGTTTTAAAACACTTCGTGTATTCTAACACATTCTCCATGCACATAAAAAATGTGCATGTCTTACCCGTTTTTACTCTTTGGATGTCACCTTTTTAAACTTAATTTTTTTTTCCTTTAAACTACTGTGTGGACTTTTATCACCTACTGTTTTATCTTCACCTACTGCTATAGTCAATATTTTAAGATAATAACCTGGAGAATTTGAGGAAAGTCAAATATGTGTGAATGTAACAAACTATTTCTCTTCCCCTGTTGCTTCAGGTACAAATTATATGGCGAGACTACTAGTCTTTGTCTTGTCTCAGGCAACTCTGTTCAGTGGAGTGACCCATTGCCAGAGTGCAGAGGTAAGATTTTAAAAAATATAAGCACTCAGGTGAGTGCTCAATGATAAATTAATTTTTGCCCATTAAGAATTAGCACAGTGTGTATTTGTAGCCAACCCACCTTTCAATATATGAGTGCTTTGCTCATTTTAAGACCTTTTCTAGTGATGCTTCTCAATTTATTAGCTGTGAAGATAAACCATCAAGTTTTATGAGTCCCAGTTCCTGAACTATAGAATGAGGATTAAAAACAAACTTAGGGTTTGTATTGGACTTGGTCATTTGTTGTCTAACCATTACTTCTAAAGTCAAGTATGATAGGTAAAAGATTTCCACCCTACAATTTTCTGTAAGAAAGTACTGTCAATCAGAGGGTCTATGAGACTTGATCACATATCCTAAAACAAGTGGCAGTGGAAATAAGATTCCTGCCTCCATTCTTTTACTCTATTAATGTTTCATGCATATTTTATCCAGAGCAATCTGAAACACAGATGTGACTTGTCTATTTCCTCCTTAGAGCTTATTCATATCTTCCATCACTTACAAAGCCCAAACTCCTTAGTATAGTGTACAAGGCAGCCATGGTCTACCTACTGCTTGACGCTCAGGTCTTGCCCTCATGTTTTATGCTTTATACGTGCAAACTGCTTGTGGTTTCCATATACCCTTTTTTCCTTTTCTTTCTTTTTTTTAAAATTGAGACACGGTCTCACTCTGTTGCCCAGGCTGAAGTGCAGTGGTTGCAGCCTCAACCTACTCAGCACAAGTGATCCTCCCACCTCAGCCTCCCTTGTAGCTGGGACTACAGGTGCACACCACCATGCCCAGCTAATTTGTTTGTGTGTGTGTGTTATTTTTTTTTTCCATAGACAGAGCTTCCTCGTGTTGCCCAGGCTGGTCTTAAACTCCTGGGCTCAAGCAGTCTACCCACCTTGGCCTCCCAAAGTGCTGGGATTACAGGTGTGAACCACCATAGCTGGCTGCCTGTCTCTACTTAGCTATATTTTCCTTACTAATAATTAGTTCTCTAGCCCATCAGGAAGATTTCCAGGCTGGCTACTTCTATGATAACCCTTGCATTTTGTATTGAAATTATCTCTGAATCTCTTTTCCTACTAGCTTTTAAGACATAGGAGCTATATATCTTGTTCAGCTTTGCACTTCCAATTACAGAAAAATGCCTTGCTTGTGTTAGGTGCTCAGAAAATGTTTGAACTGAACCGATGGTACATGTGTCCCTGCACACCCTAAGTTACTGTAAATCAGAACAGCTTGTTCTTGCTGCTTGTTTTGATCCAAGACCTAAAGTGATTGATTTATAAATGTGCTGGCTATTCTCTGTGTTCTTAAGTATGTTTGATGTAACATAATTTGACATATACACATATTTAATTGCCTTCATTCTTTAAAAAACAAACAAACAAACAAAAAAAACTTCATGCCTCTAGAGCATGTGGAACTCTTGAATTTTTTTCTCAGGGCAGCTGCCACAGAGTGGTCCCTTTTTACAGTATAACTAAAAAAAAAAAAAACTCTGTTGTATTTATTTTATAAGTTTAGCTGCTCAGTAAGATTATTTTGAATTAAAGCCTCTGTGAGTCAATATGTGCTAAAATTTTTTTCTTTAGAAATCAAAATGTAATCCTCACATTTAAGATACTTGCTCTATCCAAAATGGTCTGTACTTAGTTCTTAAGCATGCTGCTTGAATTTTCAGCTCCTTGCATTTGCTATCATTTCCCTCTTAGAGTGAAGAGCAATGCTCTCTTCTCTGTTCTTTCTTAAAATAATGCTACCTATTAGGTTTAAACTCAAGTTCTATTTCCCTGCCAAAGTCTTCTCTGACTACACTGCTTTTATCACTAAACCCCTGCAGCATTTACTTTTCCTAGCATCATTTTGGTATGTTCAAATCTTATAATTTTTCTTTTACATACATGTTCTGAATCTTAGTATTTCTGTGAATTGGTCTCAGGGTTAGCATTTGTCTTCTACGCCATTTGCATTCAAAGTTCCAATATACTACCAGTTACTTAATAGGCATTTATAAGCATCTCTTGTTGATAATGCTGAATTTAGAAAAATTATATTTTGACTTTTTAAAAATATAATCTTTAACTTGTTTTCACCTTATTTGTAAAAATACTAGTTTTATTTATTTAAAAGATGTTTGAATTGTTTTTTAAGAAATTTATTGTCCAACACCACCAAGAATTGACAATGGAATAATTGAAGGGGAACGTGACCATTATGTACACACACAGTCTGTAACATATTTATGTAATAGAGGATTCACTATGATTGGACACAACTCTATTTATTGTACTGTGAATGGTGAAGAAGGAGAATGGAGTGGCCCACCACCTGTATGCAAAGGTAATCAGTTTGGATAATTGCTTTATTGCTACCCTTAGGTATATATGTGGGTTGCAGACATTCTATGAACTCCCTAAGAAAAAACTGTAAAATGTTTACATCTGCATACTTGTGTTTTTCTGTGGGACACAATTTTTTTTTTTTTTTAATTTTACTTTAGGTTCTGGAGTACATGTGCAAGTCATGCAGGGTTGTTGCATAGGTGCTTACATAACCAGGTGGTTTGCTGCCTCTATGCCCCCTTCATCTATATCAGGCATTTCTCCCCATGTTATCCCTCCCCACCCCCTGCCGTCCCTCCCCTAACCCCCTCCCAACTGCCCCCTGTATGTGATGCTCCTCTCCCTGAGTCCATGTGTTCTCATTGTTCAACACCCACCTATGAGTGAGAACATGCAGTGTTTGGTTTTCTGTTCTTGGGGACACAGTTTTTCTAAAGCTTCTCAGAAAGGTCTTTGGCTGGTATACACACACTGACACACACACATGTATATATGATGTGTATATATAAAATGGGCCTCATAATTTTGGTGAATTTGCTTAAATTTGCTGTTTTATACCATTTGCTTTCAGTAAGTTAATATAGGTGCTTTGTTTATACAAAGAGCATATGAAGTGGTTTATTAAATTGAAGGGAGAATCTTAGATTGAACTGAGGGTTCTAGATAGTGATCATACTTGTTGCAACAACTGAGAAACTCTTGCCATCTGTTAACTTCACTGAATTAACATTCAATTATATTCTGCCTCCAAAATTTCTATTATTATCCATTCTCTTTCATCCTTCTAGTCTTTCAGTGTCTTTTTATACCCAGATAGTACTCTCAGAATCCTTAGAACTGGTCTTTAAATATATTTTAAAAGAAATATTTAGAAGATTAGTGACGCTGTACTAACTATTTATTGCCTAGTATCAGTCGGAGGCATTTGTTTAAGTAGTGGTGAATGCCAGCATGACTGAAGCCTTTGAGTATTTACTTTTATAATTATAATTGAAATTTTATTAGTATGAATTTTAGAAATTCCTTATTAAAATAGTTTTTTATTATAAGTGTCATATATAGACATAATGACAATATTAAAGCCATGGAGATGAGTACAAAATGAGAAGTGAGAGTCTCTATCACTAGTCCTGCTCTGAGAGGTAACCATTTTTTATAAATTCTTGTGCTTTATTTTAGAATATAAATAAACATACAAATATTTTTTATTTGTCACGTAAATAGTGTGGGCATTCATTCATCTAACCACTCCTCTATTGATGGCAATTTAGGTTTTTTGTTCTGGTTTTCTTTTATGAGCTATTATTGCAAATGATGCCATAATATTCTTGTACATCTCTCACTCCACATGTATGCAAGTACATTTGTACAATAAATTCCTTGCAGTATAATTGTAACAAAGATATGTGAATTACATTTTTCATAGCTGTAACATTGCTTTTTAAAAGACTGTACCTATTAGTCTCCCACTAATATTACATCATTATGCTGTTTGCACCTTTAATGATAATAATTGTTATGGAGATTTGACAGTGTAGGCAGTAAAACCTTTATTATTTGAATTCATTTAATTATGATGAAGTTTGGTGTGTGTGCTTTTAAAATTTGGCCATTTGATCCAGTTCATATTGATTTTTTCTATTTTTTTAAATGATCGTTAATTGGAGCTTAAAAACTGTATGGAAGTACCCAAGTAGGTCGTGGCAGGCTAATGCTTCCATTAAAACAACTATAATATCTGAATATATTACCAAAAAATTATATTTTTAAAGGCGTAAGATACAGCTGTGGAAGCAACAAGTTCTGAATGAACTAAAATTCCTGGGGGCAGAGGGGTGAAGGCAACCCATTCTGAAGTAAGCCAGTTTTCTCTAGGGACATTTGCTGATTCTGAACCTGGACTAAGGATCCACTCTGACCCAGACAAAAGACTACTTACAGGAAAGAGAAACCAGCAAAGCTTTAATGGTTGTGGAAGGATAGGGTAATGCACTGCAAATTGAAGTCCTCAAATGCAAAACCAATTTTTCCTAAAGGCCATTTGCTAATTTGGGGGGCTGCATATGAGGCTGGGAAGCTTGACCCAAAGCTTCTAAAGTATAAAATGATATCTCTCAGAACTTGATGGTATTTGGATAGCATATACCTATCAGAGGAACAGACTTTTATATAGCATACCACAGGTCTCCCTGTTAGCACATTGGTGCTTATTTTGAAACTGTAAAGGGGAAGGACATTAGAAGGCTGGACTGGGGAAACTCTGAAGGATAGACCTGAATCTCCTGCCATCTTCCAAGGGTGAAATAATAAAGATCCACAAGGCTTTCAGTCAGAAGCCCAGAAGGGCTACTCTCAAGGAATGGAGGCAAGAGCAGAGGTAGATAGAGTCTTACTGAAACTGGAACCCAGTTCAATTCCTACTAGGTTAAAGATATGATTACCTCAATGCAGTCTGCTTATCAGGAAGGCATATCATATCATCTGGATGTTTTATTATATAATGTTTGACATACAATAAAAAGACTGTTAGATATGGAAGGAAGAAAGAAAATATGGCCAAATCAAGAGAAAACAAAACCAAATAAAGAATATCCAGATAATTGAGTTCGCAAATGAGGACTTTAAAATAACTAATTAACATGTTTAAGATGATAAAAGAAAAGAGAACTTCAATAGAGAATTGGAATCTGATATTCTACAACTGGAAAAGATCTGAAATTAAGAACACAATAGGTAGGTTTAGCGGTGATTCAGACAGAGCAGGAAACAGTGTTAGGAACTGGAAGACAGATCAGTTAAAAATACCTACCTAAACTGATTCACAAAGAGAAAAAGGAGTGTGAAATATAGATAAAAATTTGAGACATGTTAAACTGTTTTAACACATGTTAGAAAAAGGAGAGAGAAAGTGAGAGACAAAAAGGAAGAGGTGAAGAGTAGAGAAATAGGAGCAGAAGAAATATTTTAAATGATACTTACTCAGAATTTTCCAAAATTGATAAAATACATTAGCCAACATGTTCAAGAAGGTCTCTGACTAAGCTGAATAAAAAGAAAACCACTTTAAGGCACCTCATAGCAAAAACAAACAAAAAAATCTTCAAAGAAGCAACAGTAAAACTGATCACTGACTTCTCAGCAAAAAATGATGCAAGCCAAGACAATAAGAAAAAAATCTTTAAAATACTGTAAGAAAATTACTGCTCACCCAGAATTCTACACCCAATTAATATGTCATTCAAAACTGAATGCAAAAGAAGGATGTATTCAGACAAAAACCAAGAAAACTTTGCATTAGCAGACCAAACATGCACAGAATGAAAAACTAAAGGAAATTCTTCAAGTAGAATGAAAGTAATTCCAGATAAAACATGAAAATACAAGAGGAAATGAACACTGACAAGGGTAAATGAATACTGAGTTTACAAACAGTGAATGTAATGTCCTGTGGGGTCTGAATTATACATAGAATACAAATGCATAATAACAATAATGCAAAAGGCAGAAAGAGGGAAATTCATTTAAAAGTTACACTGTTCTAGCAGTACTGAAAAAGTGGTAAAAGTGATAGTTTGCATGATTGACTTATAGTCTAATAAATATTGTGATCTCTAGGATTGCTACAAATGAATGACAGAAGAATGCATAAATACATAACCTACTAAAAGAATGATAATGGATATTTCAAAAGAGAACAAGAGAGAGAGAAGCAGAAAGGAACACAAAATAGATGGGTGAAATAGAAAACTAATAAGGTGGTTGATATAAACCCATGTATGTCAGTAATTACATTAAGGGTAATTTGACCAAGATTGTCAGACTAGATTTTAAAAGGAACCTAGTTATTTACTATTTACAAGAGATACAATTTAATAACAAGAACACAGAATAGTTGAAAGTAAAGGATGGAAAAATATGCCATGCAAACATTAACCCTTCAAAATAAGCTGACATAGTTACATTAAGATCAATGTATATTTTAAGATGAAACAGCTCATAATGACAAGGAGGCCAACTCAACAGTAATATATCACAATCCAGAATCTATATGTACTAGATAAAATAGCTTCAATCTATATGTAGCAAAAATGGACAGAAGAACAGATAAATACACACTCACAGTTGGAGAATTCCACACCTGTCTCAATAGCTAATAGGACGAGCAGCCAAAAATCAGTGAGACTAAAGAAGATCTGAGCAACAATTAAACATAGATGCATATAAGAGCATTGAACCTCATTAGGACCAGTGGCCAGTATTTTTTTTCAAGTACACATGGGATATTTAGCAAAATTGACCATATGTGGGGCTCTACGCTACAATACATTGCAAAAGATTGAAGTTACTCAGAGCATACCTCCTAGTCACGGTGCAATTAAACTAGATATCAGTAATGAAAAGATAACTAATAAATTAATTTCTAGGAAATTTAAACTCTAAGGTAGTATATAAATTCTCTGGGTCAAAACTGAGAACTAACTTGATAGAACAAAGAATAATTTTTGTATAGGAGGGCCTTAGAATGAAAGGTTCATACAAAAACTTATCCTAATAATAATTATCATTGTTTGAGTGCCTGCTAAATGCTGTGTTACCTGCTAGGCATTTTACCTGTGTTACCTGCTAGGCATTTTACCTGTGTTACCTGCTGTGTTACCTGCTAGGCATTTTACCTGCTAGGCATTTTACCTGCTAGGATTTATCCCTTACAGCAGCCTGTGAGATAGGTAAGGAGGCAGAAAAAACAACCAACACCCTCTGAGTTCCTAGGGCATCCCGTTTGTGATGGGGCTGTCAACAGTCATCCTGGATGTTGTAATCTCTTGTTTTAGGGATAGACACTATGAAATAGCTTACTCAGTTATTTCCCTTAATTCTTATAATTATGCAGTCTGTTCAGCTTCTATCCTCATTTTGCAGATGAGGAAACTATAGCTTAGAGGGGTTAGTCACTAGTATGTGGTGAAATCAGGCATCGGCACTACTCAATACTGCCTCAACAGGGACTTTGTATAAGCAACCCAATGGCAGATTGACTCTGAAGACCTAAAAAGTTGCCCTGCTGTTAGATTTGTGCTTTTCAGAATATGTTTTTAGGAAAGTTTCATCAGACTTGTTATCTAGTCTGAAATCTAAAGAGGAACTAATGTATGGAAAGCTGCTAACCATCACAAGAGAAGTAAAAGAAGTTGTTTTTATTCAGACTCAAGCATTACTTTAAAAAAGAAGTGCAACAAAGCAAGTTATCATGATCATTAAGGTTTCCTAAAAGCGATGGAGAAGATAGCCTCGCTGTGATTGTCTCTGTTGGCCTAGTGACTACATCCTGTTGTGCTTTAGTATTAGCCAGCCACAAAAGATAACTTGGGAGAGAAAGTAGAGACGTGCCACAGAATAAGATCAGGAGTGACTCTAAGTTTGATTTATTTCACAAGAAGCAGCTTAGGCACCTCAGCATAATTTGTCACTAAGTCTGCTTTAGTCACTCGTAGGTATAATTTATATCAAAGCAAAGCAATTTAGCATTTCAACTCCTTGAGAAATATACAATAAGACTTGGTTTCCTGAAAGTCATACCTAGGTGTTTGTGGGAAGAGAGAGAGGATAGCTACAGAGCAAGTAATGGCTAACAATCTTAACGTGGCCAGCAGTATTCAGCTAACTTTTTTTTTTTTTTTTTGAGACGGAGTTTCACTCATGTTACCCAGGCTGGAGTGCAATGGCGCGATCTTGGCTCACCGCAACCTCCGCCTCCTGGGTTCAGGCAATTCTCCTGCCTCAGCCTCCTGAGTGGCTGGGATTATAGGCACGCACCACCATGCCCAGCTAATTTTTTGTATTTTTAGTAGAGATGGGGTTTCACCGTGTTGACTAGGATGGTCTCGATCTCTTGACCTCGTGATCCACCCGCCTTTGCCTCCCAAAGTGCTGGGATTACAGGCTTGAGCCACCGCGCCCGGCCTCAGCTAACTTATTTCTTAACCTTTTCCTTCACAGGAAAATCTGTAACTTCCATGGCCCCACCAACAGTTCAGAAATCTACCACAGTAAATGTTCCAACTACAAAAGCTTCATCAACTTCTCAGAAAACTTCAGCTTCTCAGAAAACTTCAACTTTTCAGAAAACTACCACAGCAAATACTCAAGGTACAGAAACTCCATCAGTTCTTCAAAAACACACCACAGTAAATGTTTCCACTATAAGAACCCCACCAACTCAGAAACTCACCACAGTAAATGTCTCAGCCACAGTAGCCACACCAGCACTTCAGAAACCCACCACAATAAATGTTCCAGCTACAGGATTTTCATCAGTATCTCAAAAACGTACCACAGTAAATGTTCCAGGTACAGGAATCTCATCGACACCTCAAAGACACACCACAGTACATGTTTCAGCTACAGGAGTCCCACCAATTCCTCAAAAACCCAGCAGAGCAAATGATTCAGCCACCAAAGCCCCAGCAGCAGCTCAGACATCTCTCATATCAAAAACCTTATCTACAAGGACCCCTCCTGCAGCTCACAATCCCATAATGACAAATGCCTCTGCTATGCAGACCACACTAACAGACCAAAGATTGACCACAGCAAAAGCTCCATTTACGCAGAGTCTTCCAGCAACACAAAAGTCTTCTAATGTATATTCCCCAGTGTCTAATGGTCTCAAGAGTACACAAAGATTCTCTTCTGCTCATATTACAGCAACACAGAGTACATCTGTTTCTAGGACAACCAAGCCTTCTCATGAAACAACCCCAAGTAAAGGAAGTGGAACCAGTTCAGGTCAGTTGACACTGTTCAGGATCTAATGTGCTATGGCGGAAATATGAACTTGACCAAGACTGCAGGATTAAATGGTCTCTAATTTATTATAGACAGGGTTTTTCATACTAATACTTTTTACTTTCTTTGGGGGTGGACTTGGATTGTACTAGGGCAAATTTTTAAAAAAAGAAACATTTACAATAATAGAGAAAAAGACTGTGGCCCCATTAAAAAATGTTAGATTAAGATTGGCAAAGAAATACTGTTTTCTGTAGTAGCTTTAGGGAGTCATCGAATACTTCAAGACTTCTTCAAAGAACCAAATATGTGCTGTCTTTAAGGTTGAGTCCTGGGTCTAGTTCATTTATAGAGTCCCGTCCCTCAAAGCATGCTAAGGAATCTTTCCAGATTCCCTACAGTTGCAGATTTGGTAAAGCATCTCAATAGTGTCATCTAAGTAATTGCAAATACAGAGATTCTTTCAAATAGTTTGTATTATTACAAGGCTCTGTAAATGATAGCTTCCCAGTGGCACCAAATAATTGTGTTGTATCTATAGTTTTACCCCTTATGACTATATTTTCAAAATGATTTTATATATTTCATAACTGTTACCTTGAAGCCTATTTTGCCAACACCTGGATATTTTTAAGAATTACATCATGGATGTTATTGTTAAAGTTCCCTAATACATTTCCCCAGCCCATTTTTCTCCCTCTGAGGCAATGACTGCCCTGAAGCCAATGTGCTTACTTCCTGTCTGTTTTCATTTTTATACTCCATGTATGCATCCGTAAGTAGTACATAATATTGTTTCATATTTTAAAAATAATTTACAGACACTGTATATGTTTCATTATCTAACTTTTAGCACTCAGCACTGGTTTCGTGGCTTATATTGATTGATTTAGATTCAGTTCACTAATTTTAATTCTTTATGGGGATTTTTACTTTAAAATTTTATGACATCTCTTGGTCTAAAATTCCTAGGTTGAATACATCCAGTTTTTAATAGGGTAAGACAAAGAGAAATCAGCATCACTTATAAATTTGTTATAGAACTAAGTTTATTGACATATTTCCTTCTGTAAAAAATGTAAGATAATTTAACAAATTTAAACTGAACCAAATGAGTCCATTATAATAATAAAAATATCAATGCTTGGGATCAAAATTTACTCTTAGATACAATTAATATACTCTTTCAGGGCACAATATAATATGCCATATTTGACTCTTATTGAAAAAAAAATTGTAGCGACCACTTACTGAATAATGACATGTTCCATTCATCTTCTATTTGATGCCACTCATCCATACCACAGCCTTGCAAAGTATCTTTAGTTTCATTTTTTAGATGAGGAATTAGAGGCTTAGAGATTAATTCATACAGTTTATATACAGTTTCATCGTGCATTTTTTTGGCTGAGTATATTGCCTGTTCTAAACAGTACTCTGAGTAAATGTGTTCACCTCACTTAGGAGAGCAGCTTATTTATTGTTACAAATATGCTTGTATGAAAGTAAATTTATTTTTGCAATGCTTCACCCATAGTCACTCAAATATATAAATAATAAGGTGATATGACAGTTCTGAGTTTTGATATGGTCTGTTGAAAGGGACTTAGGCTTCTTATGGTTTCTTGATAGTAGGATTGGGTCAGCAATTATTTACTGTTTAAGTTTTCAAACCTGTTTCTTGCCCTCAAGTCTTAAAACCAAATTTAAATGGTGTTTGTTTTGGTGTTCAGTAACTCTTTATCATAGTTTATATTTACAGTGTTGATTCTGTTGAACAGATATAATAATGTTTATATTATACTCGGTTAAGTTGATAATATGTAACTGTTTTCATAAATTTAGAATTATGGAAATTTGAGTTGCTTTTAAGTTTTCAAGCATAGTTTATTGATAGTATATGAAATTGCTAGCAAATCAATGACTTTAACAAATTTTTTATTTTTAATCCTTTTTTTTCCTTCATCTGTAGGTACTATCATGCTTCTATCTGGTAAGTTTGGTTCTCAGGCAGTTAAAATAAATTATTTTCACTGTGAGATATACAATCCATATTCCTGGAATATAATATTGTCTTCTTGTTTTTAAAAAATTTATCCTGCAATTTATTTTTAAACTTTTTAGTATGGAAAACTTTAAACATCACTCAAGTAGGGAAAATAGTACAGTGAATCCTCTTATACTCACTCCGTTTCAGTAATTTTCAACTCATGGATACCCACTTACCCCACACTCCCTGGATCATTTGGAAGATAATACCAGACATAGTATCATTTTCTTCATAAACATTTTACTAAGTAACCTTTATAAAAACATAAGCACATAGCATACCTAAAAAATCCAGTAATTCCTTAATATCAGCAAATATTTACTCAGTATCCAAACTTCCCTGATTATCGTAAAATTTTTAAATTGATACATAATGTTTTATGTGTTTATGGGGTACATTTGATATTTTGTTACATGCATGGACTGTGTGATTCTCAAGTCATTATTTGCGGTATTCATCATCTTGAGTTTTATTTCTGTGTGTTGGTAACATTTTAGGTCCTTTCTTCTAGTGACTATGAAAAATGTATACTATTGCGAACTATACTCACCCTACTCTGCTATTGAATATTGGAACGTAAATCTTCTATCTAACTGTATGCTTATACTCATTGGCCAAAGTCTCTTTATCCTCCCTCCTACTCACACACTTTTCCAGCCTCTGGTATATAACATTCTACTCTCTACCTCCATGAGAACTTTTTTAGGTCTCACACGTGAGGAAGAGCATGCGATATTCATCTTTCTTGCTTGGCTTATTTCGTTGAATATAATGGCCTCTAGTTCCATTCATGTTGCTGCAAATGACAAGATTTTATTCTTTTTATGGTTGTATGTATTCTAGTCTATATATGTGCTAGATTTTTT